CAGATCAGGTGGTTTACTGCAGTAAAGCGCAACATTTGTTACTTCAAACCAGGTCTTGATGGAAACATGTGCGGGACATTTGGATTATTTTTCAATGGAGAAATAATACGCCACGATAAAGAAGGTTTAACGCGACAGTACAGCTCCGGCAGTTTTGCGTCTCTCTATGGGAGTGAATGGAAGCGAGAGGAGGACACGCCCCCCATGCTTCCAGATGTGGCTCCGCCTTTACCAGTTACGTTGATCGCCAGACAATCCGGACACCGACAGGGGACTCAGCGCTGCGCAGCATCCGGCGTCAATGGGTTAATAAGAAAAGGTTTAACATTACATATCTCAAAAGAAGAGAAAACATGCAGATGTTGTTGAAATTTTTCAATAAATATTTAGTTTGGCCCACGACTTATTCCCAGTTTTAATTTTGGCCTCTGTGAATTTGAGTTTGACACCTCTGCACTAGACGGTTTGCAAAAACCCCGGAAGTGCGAGTCCGGGCACCAGCCAATCAGCGAAGAGACATACAGACATTCTGTGTCGGCAACGATTCCTGAGATTGAGAATATAAAGATGGAACAAAGATGGAAAGACTTGATTAAAAGCTTAATATACCAATTAGCCCTGTTATTGGTGCATTACATACGTCATGACCAAACTGCAGCGGACGAATCCTAATGCTGCGAGGTCAGACAGTTTCCACGAAGTGAAACCGGCTGATGAATCAGGCTAATCTAAAACCTCTTCAGCATGTCTTTGGTGAAGAACATTGTAACACAGGTATAACAGCCCCTCTTTAAACCATGTTAGAATGTTGTTCTCAAAAACAAACCTGGAGTTGTGTTTTGTTTCATTCACACACGTTTAAAGGTTGTATGGAGGATTTTTTTGTTTGTTTCAAATTGTCAGTGAAAGTTCAAAATAGAAATATAGAGATGCAGCAGCCTGGTAATTATGATGACCAAAAGAAAAAAAAGAATGAAAATCCATCAACTGTGGACATGGTGGGACCTGATAAACATGAACCAATAGAAAACAAGGCTACCTCATTTTCTATTGGCTGTTGGGTTGTCAATCAAACTTCCTACGCGCTGGGATTACATGGTTTATGTTTGCCTCTCACGCACTGATGCCATTTACTCAACCAGCACAGCATTTCTTGACGTCTTTTTCGAACTGTAGCTTCCTCTCAGTTTGCACAAAGTTTGTTGTAATGGCCGACAAGAATTCACGACCAGTTCATCGCAAAAGAAAGTCAGTTTCTGACGTCGCGGAAAGAAGAAGAGAAGGGGAAAAGGAGCGAAGCGCAACATTTGAAAAAGAACAAACAGTTGCTGCATTTCTCTTTCTTTGGCAAATCTTCTATACGACCTTTAACACACAAACCATGCAGATTTACACTGAGTTCTTCTCTCAAGCAGAAAAAAAAACCACTCCGTTCCACCTTTTGATGTCGTGTGGTAATACTAAGTGGAGTATTTTGAGGTTTCGAGATGTAGACAGACTAATAAACCAGGATTAAACAAACAAAACGTGTGAATGAAACAAAACAATCCGTGTGTCATTCGTTCATTCGTTTTTCAATATAAAACCAAAAATAAGAAAACGAAAAAACAACAGTTTTCTTCGTTATTTGTCTCCAAAACCAAAATGAAAAAACGGATAATGATTCGTTTTTTCAGTTTTCGATTTTGTGTTTAAATGAAGAATGGAAAAAACGGATAACGGCCGTTTCCCATTTACGTGACTTCAGTGACTGCGATGCCGAACTTTTGCACCGCGTACGGACTGAACCAGGACTGATCCAGGTCCGAGACCAGACCGGGATCAGAGCGGAACTGAGACCGAGACCAGCGGTCCGAGCGGTTCCGTGTCATCGTCTCCGCGCTGGTTCCGTGCGGGGAAAGTGAGAATGTGCTGTGGACGACAGGTCCGGACGAGCTGCTCCAGAACCGCGGCTGGTTCCGAGGTGGTGCAAAACATCCAACTGACGCTTTCACACCAACGAAAACAAACCGAACTAAGAGCTTTTGGTTCAAATGGACCAGGTCCGGGATCAGACCGGGACCAGAACAGGCCTGAGACAGAGACAAGACCGAGACCAGATCGGAGGCTCAGAGCCCACGGCAGGGCCGGAGCTCGAAGCTGAGGCTTGGACCCCGCGGAGGCTCAGAGTCAAAGCTTGGAGTCCGCCCCAGTCCTGCTCTGGTCCTGGTCTGGTCCCGCTCTGGTCCCGCTCTAGTCCCGGTCTGGTGTCGGACCTGGATCAGTCCTGGTTCAGTCCGTACGCGGTGCAAAAGTTCGGCATCGCAGTCACGGAAGTCACGTAAACGGGAAACGGCCGTTATCCGTTTTTTCCATTCTTCATTTAAACACAAAATCGAAAACTGAAAAAAACGAATCATTATCCGTTTTTTCATTTTGGTTTTGGAGACAAATAGCGAAGAAAACTGTTGTTTTTTCGTTTTCTTATTTTTGGTTTTATATTGAAAAACGAATGAACGAATGACACACGGATTCAAAACACAACTCCAGGTCAAGAGGTCGTTTCGTGTAATCTACAGTAGGACCTTTAAGAGTCTTTACCAAACACGATGGCGGTGAAGCATCTCGTGGTGTAGTTGAACTGGTCGCAGTCCAGGAAATCGGTGCAGGGCTTCGGGTCTCGGACGGAGCACACGTAGCACCAGAATCCCGACGCTGCAACAGAGGACGGGACAGAGCGTCAAACCCACAGAGGACGCGGGAGATGAGCCGTACCTGTGCTCAGCGTCGTGACCAGAACCAGAGCGGCGGCGAGCTTCATGTTCCTCCGCGGACGTTCCTCCTGCCCGGTCCTCGAGTCTCCAGACGCGCGGTGGAGTCGTTTGCATACATTTGGATGGGGGTTTGCATTCGTGTGGCTCGCCGGGTTTTTCTTATATTAAAATAATCCAAACAGGGCAAGACTTCCGGACTGGAGCAGGTCCAGCACATGGACATTTCTGAAGTTGCATGCTGCCGTTCGGACATTGACGTCTAATGGTCGGAGTGACGCGTTTCCATTTTTTATCAAACGTCCCTGCACTCCGACATTGTTTTTTCCTTGGTTGGAGCGGCGGGACTTTAGCTTTTTTTTTCAGCATTCAATCATTCTGACACACAAGGGAATTATTAAGTAACCTGGTTTAGACCTGATTTAGACCTGGTTTAGACCTGGTTTAGACCTGATTTAGACCTGGTTTAGACCTGGTTTAGTGCTGATTGTAGTCATGGTTTAGACCTGGTTTTAGTCCTGGTTTAGACCTGGTTTAGACCTGGTTTAGTCCTGATTGTAGTCATGGTTTAGACCTGGTTTAGTCCTGGTTTAGACCTGGTTTAGTGCTGATTGTAGTCATGGTTTAGACCTGGTTTTAGTCCTGGTTTAGACCTGGTTTAGGCCTGGTTTAGACCTGGTTTTAGTCCTAATTTTTGTCCTGGTTTAGACCTGGTTTAGTCCTGATTGTAGTCATGGTTTAGACCTGGTTTTAGTCCTGGTTTAGACCTGGTTTAGACCTATTTTAGTCCTGATTGTAGTCATGGTTTAGACCTGCTTTAAACCTGGTTTTAGTCCTGTTTTAGACCTGGTTTAGATCTGGTTTAGTCCTGCTTTAGACCTGGTTTAGTCCTGGTTCAGATCTGGTTTAGACCTAGTTTTAGTCCTGGTTTAGACCTGGTTTAGTCCTGGTTTTAGTCCTGGTTTAAATCTGGTTTAGACCTGATTTTAGTCCTGGTTTAGTCCTGGTGTAGTTCTGGTTTAGTCCTGGTTTAGTCTGGTTTAGTCCTGGTTTAGATCTGGTTTAGTCCTGGTTTAGACCTGGTTTAGTCCTGGTTTAGATCTGGTTTAGTCCTGGTTCAGATCTGGTTTAGACCTAGTTTTAGTCCTGGTTTAGACCTGGTTTAGTCCTGGTTTAGATCCTGGTTTAGTCCTGGTTTAGATCTGGTTTAGTCCTGGTTTCAGATCTGGTTTAGTCCTGGTTCAGATCTGGTTTAGACCTAGTTTTAGTCCTGGTTTAGACCTGGTTTAGTCCTGGTTTTAGTCCTGGTTTAGTCCTGGTGTAGTTTTCCTGGTTTAGTCCTGGTTTAGACCTGGTTTTAGTGCCTGATTGTAGTCATGGTTTAGACCTGCTTTTAAACCTGGTTTTAGTCCTGTTTTAGACCTGGTTTAGTCCTGTTTTAGATCCTGGTTTTAGTCCTGGTTTAGATCCTGGTTTAGTCCTCTGGTTTAGATCCTGGTTTAGTCCTGGTTCAGATCTGGTTTAGTCCTGGTTTAGATCTGGTTTAGTCCTGCTGGTTTAGATCCTGGTTTAGTCCTGGTTCAGATCTGGTTTAGACCTAGTTTTAGTTCCTGGTTTAGACCTGGTTTAGTCCTGGTTTTAGTCCCTGGTTTAGACCTGGTTTAGTCCTGGTTCAGATCTGGTTTAGACGACATCGCCCCCTGCTGGACAGAGAGCAGCACTGCACACACTCAGGTAAGATTTGGTTTTTACCGAGAGCTGGAATTTATGAATGTTGAGGAGGAATATGGGAAAACTTGATATTCTAACACTTTGGAAGTATGGAACCTTTTCTCTTAAAGTAGATTTTAAAAAAAAAGCATGTTTTATTCATTGTGGGTATTTTTTTATTGTTCTTAAAAATACAGAAAAATATGGATTATGTTTTTTCTGTGTGATCTTGCATCTCCACCAACCTCTTAATTGACCTTTACCTGCTTGTATATTTCCTCCTAACTTTATATTTCTATTAAATCATGTTGTTGACCAAACTTACACACTGTCACTTCAAATTGAGAAATGTGTGGATTGTATAGGAACTGTAATTTAAGTTTAATTTAATTCAAATACAAATTTATATTAACATCACTAATTAATGATATCAATAAACTCTTTTTGTGTCAGTTTCAAATAATTGTGATTTCAGTTTTGTATTTTCCTCCACTCTAAAGCATCTTCAGACGGTAGCACCAAAAACACACAAAAACACACTTTAAAAACAAGGTTGATTTTATTGCGCGGTGAACACGTGCGGCTGGTTTGACACTCGACACGGAGAAGGAAAAACACGCAGAAATTATACAAAAAAAAACTGTACAAAGACATCAGAGCGTGCGTTCATAATTACCTCGAGTATCCAGGTCACGGTTCGATCCGGTTATGACAGTAATCTGGATTTCCTGGATATTTAGACTGGTTGCTATGGTAACTATGGCACGGATTTGGCAAGGAGCTAAACAGGGAGCGACTTTGCAAATTTAAGGCTTTTTAACAGGTTTCTAAACAAAAAAGAAATACAGGGCGTCCCCCAAAAAATACTGCAGGCCGATAATTTTGGCAATTCTTGTTGAAATAACCTCAAATTTTCACAGAATGTACAGATCAGAATTTTAGATTTAATGGTTTAGTTTTGTTCGGCTTTCAGGTTGAGTCATGATGTTTACTCCCAAAGAAAAGTCGTTTTGCAAGAATGTGCAAGCCTGATTCATAAGACGGTTTCACGTCGTGGAAACCGTCTGACCTCACAGTGTTAGGATTCGTTCGCTCGACAGTAGACGAGTACTTTTTTATTTAACCAATCGCTGCTGTTTGGTCGTGACATATGTAATGCTCCAAATCCCATAGGAAGAAGGACAATAACGTCTTTCCCCTTGATAAAATTCACCAAACATTTTCTTTATTCTGGCTTTAAATCCTCGATCTCGGGAATCGTCGCCAACACAGAATGTCTGTCTCTTCCCTGATTGGCTGGTGCCCGAACTCGCACTTCCGTGGTTTTTGTGAATCATCTAGTGTATTCCGATTCCTGATCCAGTCACTGGAGAGAAATGAAATTGAGCGGAGGCACAAGGTGGCAACATTTTGAAAAACTTCACCAACTGCAAACAAAGTCTCGTAATAAACTTCAACACCTAAACTGTTCAGTTTCACTGAGCTAGATTTAGTCTACGTTCAGACTGCAGGACTTAACGCTCAATTCAGATTTATTTGTGAAATCTGATGTTTTTTCGAGGTCGTTCACATTTCCAGTTAAATGTGACTTGTATGTGACTCCAGTGTGAACATTAAACGGCCTAAAAGTGTCCCACATGTGACACTGGAGACACGACGACGTCAACCGCAGCGAGCGTCTCTGTGTTTACAGAAGTTGTCCAAACATGGACGCAGCATCGAGCACCTGGAGATTTTAAAGTTCCTCTCGTACCGGAGCCAGAACATGAACAACTTACTTGTTTTAAGGAGGAGATTGAGAAGGAGAAGGACGAGGTTTTTGGTCGTGGTGTTTTGTGGTTCAGTCCGTTGAAAGAAACGTGTGGATGTGGAGACGGAGCCAAGAGTGGTGAGTGGAGATGTGCTTCACTTCAGTGACATGGAGTTCATTAACAATTTTCGCCTACTTCAGTGCAGAATAGTGACGTTTGTGTCTTGTTGATAACGTGTAGGTGGATGAATGCACTTTGGTCGTTCAGACTGAAGTCACATGTCAAAAGATCAGATATGTATCGGTTTCAGGAGCACATATCCAAGTGTCCTGGGTCACATTTGAAAAAATTGGATCTGGATTGGAACAGCAAGGCCAAAAATTCAAGTTAATGCATCTGATATAAAAATGTATTGAACAGATACATATGTACTCTAGTTTATCAAACTGTTGACCTTTTTTCTGTACCATTTTTGGTTCTAAAGTTCCATACGTTTTAAACAGACCATGTATGAAACATGGAACAAAAATTATTTCCCAAATTTCAAAGACCTGAAAATCATGTAAATAAATGGATGTATTTCATCATATCTTGTGTTATTCCATCTTTGAACTGTTGATGAAGGTACATGATTTAAAAAAAAAAAAAATTTAAAATGATAAAAATTTGCTTGGAAGGACTGACATATTTTATAGAAATAGTTTCCTTTCATTTGGAAGAAATATTAAAGTATTCGGAAGAAAAAAGCGACAAATTATGCAAAATCCTGCACCTTCTACTTGTTTGCACAATTTTCCCTCCGTTACTTTTTGAGTAATGAGATTTTTTATTAAGAAAGGTCATGGTAACGGAGGGAAAAGTCAGAGGTTTTTCAACCTGTACCATATGGTAGAAAACTATATGAAGCAAATATTCAAACCAGTTTGTTAAGGATATGTAAGTGAGAACCAAGAGTTATCACTGTTTGGATTTATTGCCCAAAAAGTGCTGCATATTTCATTCCCTCTGTTACCGACATGAGTTTTTAAATTTTTTGTCAACAACTTGAAAGAATATCACAGGTTTAACTTTACATAACCTCTACCTACTTCCTACATTCTGATACTTTACTTATTTCAATAGTCCCATCTGCCCGTTTCTCTCCATTACTGCTTGACCGGACCCTTATGTTTTGTTTTGTTTTGTGCAGCAAAATGACCGAATACTGCGTTTACAAGTACACAAAACCAGAATACTGAAAAACCCGATCGTAACCGGGATACTCGAGCGCACGAAAACACACTCACGATATTTGACATGAGCGTTTTTTTTTTTTTTTAAATAAACAAACGTGGTTCACAAACAGGAAACACTGAGGCAAAACTCTCGTCCTATTGGTCACCTCGAATTCTGTATTAAAGGAGACATACGGAGACTTTTGAAACGCTTTTGAACGGCTGTTTTCGTTTCGTACGTCTGGGAAAAGGCACTACGAATGATCAAATTATTACCGAGGCTTTATAGTTAAGGCGCATCATCGTTGAGTCTGGATTTTGACGATTTAAAGAGCTTGGACTTGATTTGTCGAGTAAATTTGAGCGAAATCTAAGTCCGTTGTGTTCTGTTTGCATCTAGTTATAAAGCGTCTGATAATTAGTACTGTATTTTTCGGGCTATAAGTTGCGTTTTTTTCTTGGTTTGGGTGTTTCCTGCGACTTATTCTTCGGTTACTTATATATTAAAAGCCAGAAGAGGGCGCTCAAGTCTTGTGTGTCAGTATCTGAGCATGTCTCCTGCAGAAAGAGCCTCTGTCCCGTCTGCATCGTGTCAGTCGATCGTCGTTTGACAGCGGGCGGCGGCTGAAAACGAAACTTTCAGAAATCTGCGTGGGCGTAGGAGAGAAAAAAAACGTGCATGTTTGTCTGTAGTTCAGCATAAAATAAATAAATATAAAAGGACTAATCTTGGGCTCGAGAGACGGAGGGAGACAGAGACCGAGTCCCGACACTCAGTCCTGGTTCAGGTCTGGTTTAGTCCTGTTTTACACATGGTTTTAGATCTGTTTTAGTTCTGGTTTAGTCCTGGTTCAGTCCTGGTTTAGACCTGGTTCAATTCTGCTTTAGTCCTGCTTTAGTCCTGCTTTAGACCTGCTTTAGACCTGCTTTAGACCTGTTTTAGACCTGTTTTAGTCTTGGTTTAGACCTAGTTCAGTTCTGGTTTAGACCTGCTTTAGACCTGGTTTAGATCTGTTTTAGTCCTGATTTAGTCCTTTTTCAGTCCTGGTTTAGACCTGGTTCAGTCCTGATTTAGTCCTGCTTTAGACCTGTTTTAGACCTGTTTTAGACCTGTTTTAGTCTTGGTTTAGACCTGGATCAGTTCTGGTTTAGTCTTGCTTTAGACCTGGTTCAGTTCTTGTTTAGTCCTGTTTTACACATGGTTTAGATCTGTTTCAGTCCTGGTTTAGACCTGGTTCAGTTCTGGTTTAGACCTGCTTTAGACCTGGTTTAGATCTGTTTTAGTCCTGGTTTAGTCCTTTTTCAGTCCTGGTTTAGACCTGGTTCAGACCTGATTCAGTTCTGGTTTAGTCCTGTTTTAGTCCTGGTTTTAGTCCTATTTCAGTTCTGGTTTAGTCTTGTTTTACACATGGTTTAGATCTGTTTTAGTCCTGTTTCAGTCCTGGTTTAGACCTGGTTCAGTTCTGCTTTAGTCCTGCTTTAGTCCTGGTTTAGTCCTTTTTCAGTCCTGCTTTAGACATGGTTCAGTTCTGGTTTAGTCCTTTTTCAGTCCTGCTTTAGACCTGGTTCAGTTCTGGATTAGTCCTGTTTCAGTCCTGGTTTAGACCTGGTTCAGTTCTGGATTAGTCCTGTTTCAGTCCTGCTTTAGACCTGGTTCAGTTCTGGATTTAGTCCTGTTTCAGTCCTGCTTTAGACCTGGTTCAGTTCTGGTTTAGTCCTGTTTCAGTCCTGCTTTACACCTGGTTCAGTTCTCGTTTAGTCCTGTTTCAGTCCTGCTTTAGACCTGGTTCAGTTCTGGTTTAGTCCTTTTTCAGTCCTGCTTTAGACCTGGTTCAGTTCTGGTTTAGTCCTGTTTTCAGTCCTGCTTTAGACCTGGTTCAGTTCTGGATTAGTCCTGTTTCAGTCCTGCTTTAGACCTGGTTCAGTTCTGCTTTAGTCCTGGTTTAGTCCTTTTTCAGTCCTGCTTTAGACCTGGTTCAGTTCTGGATTAGTCCTTTTTCAGTCCTGCTTTAGACCTGGTTCAGTTCTGGTTTAGTCCCGCTTGCAACAAAACAACCTGAAGAGCCGCTTGGGAGCCGAAAGAGCCGGCTGCTTTTAGTGAGCCGAGCCGAAAGAGCCGGTTCTCTAAAAAGAACCGGAATACCCATCAAGTTAAGTCAAGCTGTTATTACTAGAACTTTGCTTTTCAAGATAAAATGTCGGTTTCCGGTCTCTGATTTGGTCTATAAAAGAAATTTCCCCCAAAAGTGCGACTTATATATGTTCTTTTTCTTCTTGATTACGCATTTTTTGGATGGTGCGACTTATACTCCGAAAAATACGGTAATCGATGAGTCTGTATTTTAATGATTTAAAGAGCCTGAACCTGATTTGTTTCATAAATTTGAGCAAAACCTGAGTCCTTTGTGTTTTATAAAGCGTCCGATAATCAGTAAGAGTTGAATAATGAAGCTCGGAATGTATAAACTAAACCGTTTCATTTTGTTTTTCGAAATGTTTCATGTATGTCTCCTTTAACACGTCATAAAAATATCCATTTCAGCTCAGAATGTTTAAATAAATCTCCTGTCAGCTGTAAATATTGGCACAAAATAAACACGTATTCATCGTATTAGTTTTCTCAAAGTCTTTCATTTTTTTTATATAAATTAAATTCTTTCTTTCAACAGTTTGGTCCGAAAACAGTCAGAAATTGTCCGTCAAAAACTGGACCCATTCGAAAAATATTGTCAAAAAATATTCATTTCTTATAAACAGGAAAAACATGAGACTCCCAGATCGTTTTTTTCACAACAGCAGAGTGATTAAAAAAAAGAAATTTAACAAAAAAAAGAAAAATTTGGCTTCACAATTTTGGTCCTCGCAAAATTAAAGTGGCTGTTAGTTCTGTTTCGGTTTGTTTTCGTCAAGATTTACCGTTATTGCCGTCTCTAGAATGTTCCACAGTGCAGCGTTAAGCTCGTCTATCTCCACGGAGACGAGGGGGCGACGCGACCGGCCCAAGTTACGGGTCAGATCCGCCGAGAGACGAGCCCGATCGCAGTGACGATGTGCGTTTTTCAAAGCTTAAAAACACCTCAAAACGACTGAATAAACGCGAGCTGGAGTTGAAAAGTTACACAGTGAAGCTTTATCGAAACACAGGGAATTGGATAGTTTGTTTCTGCTCAGATTAGAATCGAAAATCAGATATTAATCGATACTAAAACTCACAAGAGAATGAACCGATACCGGGAAATATCGGAATCAGAGGTGGGGCCGAGTCGTTCATTTTGCGAGTCTCAAGTTTTTGACCTCGAGTCCGAGTCAAGTCCCAAGTCGAAGACAGAAAAATCCAAGTCGAGTCTCGGACTTTTCTGTCTTTGACTTGGGACTTGACTCGGACTTCAGGTCAAAGTCGAGTCTCGAGTCTTTGACCTCAAGTCCGAATCAAGTCCCAAGTCGAAGACAGAAAAGTCCAAGTCGAGTCTCGAGTCCTTGACCTGAAGTCCGAGTCAAGTCCCAAGTCGAAGACAGAAAAGTCCAAGTCGAGTCTCGAGTCTTGGACTTTTCGGTCTTTGACTTAGGACTTGACTCGGACTTCAGGTCAAAGTCGAGTCTCGAGTCTTTGACCTCAAGTCCGAGTCAAGTCCCAAGTCGAATACAGAAAAGTCCAAGTCGAGTCTCGAGTCTTTGACCTCAAGTCCAAATCAAGTCCCAAGTCAAGTCCCAAGTCAAGTCCAAGTCGTCTGCTTTGAGCTTCGAGTCATTTCAAGTCTTTAAACCAAAAAAGAACCAAATATAGTTTAGGTTTTTGGAATTTATATGAATTTTAAACTAAATTGTACTTTAAAAAAATCATAGTATATTTATTTATGAGTATTTATAGAGTTTATAAGAGATGTAGAAAAGTACATTTTTCCTTTTTAAATGTCTTAACAAGATCTTGGTGTGAATCATTACGGTCGGAACAGAAAAAATTCAGATTTAAAAGTGCTTCTCAAGTCACTGACCTTCAAGTCCAAGTCGAGTCCCAAGTCTTAGTCCATTTTATCAAGTCTCAAAGTCCTAAAAATAGTGACTCAAGTCTGACTCGAGTCCCGACCTCTGATTGAAATATCGGTATACAGAATCGTTTAATGTGATGGCACAGTATCGATATCGAGTTTGACATTTTATGGTATATTTTATTAAATTATTTTGTTACAGCTACAGTTTTCTTGTTTGTTCAGAGGAATGAAACTTGTTTATGCGACACATTTGACATTTTCACTGTTTTGATGATTAAAATGTTTGTGTTTCTTATTCACTTTGCACAAGAAGTGGTTTAAGAAAAGCTCTATTCTCACAGGATAAATACAACCTGGGGACGTCTGGTAATTTGCAAATTACTATCCCACCTTTGTAAGAAAAATCCGTAAATTACTCGGTTTTACTAACACTGACAGAGACTGAAAGAGTAAAGAAAGAGAAAAGAAAGGAAAGAGACAGAAAAGGCGGAATTACAACAACAAACACTGAGATGCAGATTCGCACGAGACAACTGTTGTGTTATCACCGGACGTCTGTGTTTTTTGGCGTAATATTAACTTTAAAAATTACAGACATGGCACTTTCGCACGGGATTACGATCTCAGGCGTCCTCCACAATTATTACAAAACACCAAAGGTCCGTAGGTCATATTAATCCCGTGCGAATAGGGCTTTATTCACTTTGCACAAGAAGTGGTCTAACAAAAACCTTTATTCGAACGGGATAAGCATAACCTGGGGACGTGTCGTAATTTGCAAATTACTGCCCAACCTCGTCCGTAAATTACTCTGTTTTACTGACACTGACAGAGTTTGAAAGAGAAAAGAACGAGGAAAGAAAAGAAAAACAAACACTGAGATGCAGATTTGCACGGGACTAGTCATTATCACCGGACGTCTGTGTTTTTGGAGAAATATCGTAGGTAATTTACGGCGGAATTTTTACTTTAAAAATGACAGACACGGCGCATTCGCACGGGATTAAGATCTCAAGCATCGTCCGCGATTATTACAAATCACCAAAGGTTCACAGGTCAAATTAATCACGGGCGAATCGGGCTAACAAGGGGTGATTTCGTCATTATTTTTTATTGAACCACACAGAATCGATTTGAAATATATCACATTGGATCGAAAGTGCGCTGTATCGAGTTATGTATCGTATCGTGACCTATATATCGAGTTTTATATCGTATCGGCAACTTCTTTAAGATACCCAGCCCTAATCTTGAGCTGTATCCGAACAAGAGATGTTTTTTTTTAAAAATTCTCATTGTGGTATCGGACTTGGCATCGAGAACATCGTCCATTCCTTGGTATCGAAGTAAAAACCTTTGACGTTTTCGTACGGTGACCAGACTGGCTCAGGTTACGTCCACGCTGCTGCTCTGCTGATGGGGCCTTGCAGATCTGGAGTCAGTTTAAGTAGTTTTAGCACAAAAAGTGAAAAGTAAATCGAGACAAAAAAAAAAACACACACAAAGGGATCGATAGAAAAGTTGCACAGTCCGCGGTCTGTCCACTGTAAACGGTTTAAGACACACTTTGGCATTTAGTCGGTTGGTCCAAAAAGCGAGTCAGCTGATCCCGGAACAGCGGCTCGTCCAGTCAGGAGCCAGGACACTCATCTGCAAGAGAAAAAAACAACAACGAGGTCAATACACGCGGATATTTCCACACACTCTGGGGTTAGAGAGCAACTTTTAGTATTGATCTGTACCACTACTAATACTACACAACAGCTACTAGTACCACAGTGACTACTACTCCTTCTGAAACTGTAGCAGTACTTTGAACTAGAGCCTGACCGATATGGATTTTGTTGTGGCCGATATGATACCGATATAATGGGAGTTGGAGCTGCTGATAGTCAATATAATCACCGATATATTTAGTGATGTAAAAATTCACTGTAAATCTTGAATTATTTAAAAAAACTTAGGTTTGGCTCTGGTGGATTTTAAACTGGATTTATTTAGGCAACATTTATTGTTATTCTGACTCTTTACATGATTTGTCATAGGTCTAAAGCAGGTCTAAAGGCAGGACTGAACCAGGACTGAAAAAGGACTAAACCAGGACTAAAACAGATCTAAACCATGTGTAAAACAGGACTAAAACAGAACTGAACCAGGACTGAGTGTCGGGACTTGGTCTCCATCTCTCTCCCTCTCTCGACCCCAAGATTAGTCCTGATTTATTTATTTTATGCTGAATATATATATATATATATGCACGTTTTTTTTTACCCTATGCAGACGCATATTTTTTAAAGTTTTGTTTTCAGCCGCTGCCGCTGTCAAACTACCCCGAGTCTGCAAGCGGCGTGAAGAAAAAAAAAGTGAGAGAAAGAGAAAACATGACTCCCAATAAGGATCAAGCTCCCGTCGTTCGCTTCAAAGAGCCGGATCTAAGAGCCGCTTCGTTCGCGACCGACCCATCACTACTAATGACTAAAGAAACTAGCGCTACTAGCCTTTAGCCGTAAATGTTGCGCAGCGCGGTAATTAATTTTATGCGCAAATGTCATAATTCCCACCTCTATTCACAGCTCATTTACATATCAGTGCAGGTCCAGTAATAAATATACGACCAATGTAGTCACTTTACAATAGATCAATAGAAAACAGTCTGTTTATGTGCGAGAGCTACAGCAGATAATCACTAACCAATCAGAACGAACCAAAACCAGCTTCAAAGTCGACATATTTCCAACACTCAGCCTCACACAGGCTCCTCCCACATCACAAGTCTGAACTAATAAATGTCCTTTTAATCCAGACTCAAACCGATTGTCCGTAAAAATAATATAATCTCAGTGTTGCACATGGATCTGTGTCTGCGGGTGTAAACAAACACACATGACTCTGTGGTGTGTTCAGGGACAGTACGGACACACACACACTGACAAATGACTCTGCAGATAAATACTGACACGGAGCCACATAGTTGGACATTTATCTGTCTGTAAATCGGATTAAATGAACATAATGTAGAGAGTCTAAGATTCATAACGACGTATCACATGCCCACGGGAAATATCGGCTCATATCAGGTGCTCATATCGGCTCATATCTCTACTTTGAACAAATAATAAAACAACAGATACAACAGATCAATAGAGGCTTCTACACAATCTATAGCTACTGGCTAAAGTACGACCAGTAAATACTAGTATTAGTATCGCTACTGCCACTATTACTCCAACTACTACCACTGCTAAAGACTGTTACTGTAACTTCCAGTGCCAACGGCTACAGCTACTGCTGCTATTATAGTAACCACATTTACTGCTACTACTTCTGAAACTACTGTACTTAAAGGCCTTTTCAAACTTCATAAGAACATTAAAACTTTGTTCTTGTTCTTGAGGTGATAAGAACAAGAACAAAGTTCGTTTGGCCTCTGACATTTCATACTTGGTTCTAAAAGATGTTCAGCTGCCGAACTGTCCCGGCCTTGCTCTATTTCTTTTCGTCCTCCAGCCTGACAGCTCTTTTTTTTTTTTTTTTTTTGGCTTTCACAAACTTGTCACAGAGACGCCAGACTTTTCTACACTGATTTTTGTCCGAGCCTAAAATATCCGCGATCTCCTTCCAGGAATTTCTTGTCATCTGGCGTCTTTACAGTCACTGAACATTGTGTCATTTGTATTTTATCACCATTTGCAACAGCTCTGACTCAAAACCTTCCTTTTTTTTTCTTGCTCCACACTGGCAAGAAAGCAGATCAACCACGCCCACATAAATAACCAATCAGAGAGAAGATGTCGGACAGAGCTGCTGAACTACCGAGTTCTGCTCAGCTGAGATGTCAAGAACAAGCCACAAGAACTGCCAGATGTTGGATGAACAAAATGACGTAATTTTGTTCATCCAACATCTGGTTGCAAGAACAAAGTTTGTCTGTTCTTATGAAGTATGAACAGGCCTTAAAGTATCTACAGTAGGAGTCTCCAACCTGTGGTTCGGGAGCTTCCAGTAACTCTCCACCCCCTTCCAAGTAGCTCCAAGGAAAATTCCAAAGATTTCTGAACTATATATAATGTACTTAATAACCAAAATCTGATTAATTACCATTGTAAATGTGTAATTTTGATGCCAAACTTGTAGACTAACAAATGGATAATGGTTTATGTTTAACAGGCATCTAACCGTACGCTGTCTCAGGGTCGTCATGCCTCTTCAGGGTATCCCCAGGTTTGACTACCCCAAATTTAAGACTTTTCTAAGACCATTTTAAGACCAGTTCAATGAAAATTAAAACCAACATCGTACCCATTATGCATTCAAAAAACACCAGGTCCAATTCTAATAATGACCATTACTTACTGCTTTAAATAACAAAGAAATACTTTTATAAAAAAAAAATCTCATTCAGAACTCATTTATAGTTGTATGCATTGCTTGTAAAATATCCACAAAAATAATTTATAACATTCTAACAAGACAAACTAAGTATTGTTTGCGCATACTCCAAATTAAACATTCATTCACGTTACGTAATTTTACGTTGTGTTTTTTATCTCCCTCCTTTTAACATTGCACTACAGTCCGGGTGTGTTTACAAAAAATAGGCTAATGAAATTTAAGACCTTTGTGAAAAAAACAAGATGTGGACAACATAATTTAAGACTTTTTAAGGCCTTAATTTAGGAACATTAAATTAAAGCCTAGCCTTAAAGACTGTGTGTGTGTTGTGTGTTGATACCTGCGCAGGCTGCGGGCCTCGTACAGCGTGTCGTCCTCTTCACTCTCCACTCCCTCCATCTCCACCGAGTCGTCGTAGTTGGACAGGAGGCCGTACTTCTTCTTGGGAGCGGGTTTCTTCAGTCTGCAGCACACAAACAAAAGGAGTGTTAGAAACAAACTGTGGTTAGAGCAGAAACCAAGCCGCCCATTTTCAAAATAGCTGCCCATTCAAGTCAAAGGGCCGAGCTCAATGGTGCATGACTCCAGATTCACCTTTAGCCCGATGAGGTACCGTACTTTCTCTTTAAATGGTCTATTTTTGAGCTTTTTTCACAAATAAGGCTAAATAAGGTGAAGTTATTATAAAGTGTTACCAAAAGTAAAAATAAAAATATAACTTAGGGTTGGTGTTCTTTTGGTTGCGATGACGTTTACGATGACGTATCGTAAAGGAACAGACGGGTCTCAATTTGGATTTTTTTTATGAAATCTGATTTTTTTTTCACAAGGACGTTCACATTTCTAATTAAATTTGACTTGTATGTGATCTCCAGTGCGAACTTTAAACGCCCCAAAAGTGTCCCGCGTACGCATCGAAGAACACGACGCCGTCACATGCAGCGAGCGTGCTCAGTGTTTACGGAAGTCGCCTAAAAATGGACGCTAGTGTTTTTGTTTACATCCGTCTTTTCCACACGTGCGCAGTGGCTGGTAGGCGAAAAGTTAGTAGATCCGGTTGTTTGTGTTGACAGTTGCGTCGCGTATGTCTGAGATAACTCGTCTTATTTTGAAGTACCATATTTTCCGGGCTATTAGGTGCTCTGGATTACAAAATGCACTGGTCTATTTTCGAGCTTTTTTCACAAATAAACCGCACAGGACTTTAAAGGAAATAAAACAGATGGATGGATCAGTGGTTTTGTTTGTGGCGTTCACGGTGACTCTGGGCTTTGTTCAGTTGTGGCGTGTAGGGAGGTGCTGTCTGGGACCAACGGATTGTCGGCGTGTTCGCAGTGACTCAGTTGTTCAGTCGTGTCTAGAAGCGGCACATTGCACTTGCTTTTTCGGTTCGTTCCTTCGTTCCGTTCCTCGTCTGCGTGGAGTGATGAGTGCGTCTGAGGGTGTTTTTCGCTGTGCGGTCGCTGTCTGCTCCGTTTGCGTGTTCTGCGGGTGGTGCGGCTTTTTAGTTTACTAAAGTCGTGCTGGGACACCTGAGTGGATTCGTGTATGGGGCGCTCTGGATTGTGGCGCACAGTTGTTTTTTGATGGGGTTGGAGGCTTAAGAGCGCGTCTAATAGCCCCGAAAATATGGTACTTCCGGTGGCTGTAGGCCGGCCGAGGATGCAGTTGTGTCTTTTCTCCCGCAGGTTCACGTGAATGCATGCAAGCGCACACACAGAGCTCAGTCATGTACCACATGATCGCTTTGACCAATCAGAGCGCGAGGAGCTAGAGCGGAGCGGGAACAAACAATTATAAAGCGTTTTTTTTAAGACAACTGACAGATTTTGAGCTGAGAAAAAGTTTATGATCTAAAAATAGGTAAAAAAACGCCACAAAATCTGACATTTTTGAAAGTTGCAGGTGCCCTGTCAGCCGAACACGGGCAGTTTGAGATTACATTGCCTCTCAGCCCTGGGGATTTCTTCTGCTTAAGTCCCAGCGAGTGTCACTACGTCAACTGGAGGCAACTACAAGCACTTATTTTAACAGATCCATGGCGGAAACATCCGGGGAGCATAGTTAAATTGTTTTTTTTGTTTGTGGAAATGACACAAAGTACCACGCACCAGTCAAAATAAGACAAAGGTAAAATGCTGATGGGTGGAAAAGTGTTTTTTATACAGCACATTTCCACTCACAACACTGAAAGTGCTTTACATTCAGAAACCTTTCACCCTCTCACCCACACACCGGAGAACACAGACACTGGGGGCGAGGGCGGTTCAGTGTCTTCAGATTCAGATTCAGAAAACTTTATTGATCCCATAAAGCAATTCATTTGCAGCATCTCTGAGCAAACACAAACACAAACAAACACACAGTGTGTCAGTCCAATTGTCGTCTACCAGTGGAACTCAAAATAAATAACAAATTGCAGTGTAAAACTTTCATAAAACTATCATAAAACTGTACCCTTAGAATTTAATAATTTAATAGCACAGGGCACGAAAGAATTAGAAAACCGGTTGGCATCAGGATAAAATCAGGAGCCAGAGGATGGACGGACTGAGCCAGGAGACACTCGGCTTTGCTCAGCACCTGCTCCTCCCACAAAGAGCAGCTCCCTCAGTTTGATCCCTGTGATTTTTGAACAGGTTTTAACAATATTCTGAAGTTTGTTTCTATCCCTCACAGACAAGGATTCAAACCAGCAAATAAAGGAAAAAGTAAGAAGACTTTCGATAAAAGAGCAATAAAAATAGTTAAGAATCATTTTGTTCACGTTAAAAGAGTTCAGTTTCCTCAATAAATATAATCTTTGCTGCCCTCGTTTGACGACACTTTCAGTGTTTAGGTCAAATTTCAGTTTATTGTCCATCACGGTGCCCAGATATTTGTAGCTGTCAACCATTTCAACATCATTACCGTGGACGACACTAACACTGTTGGAAGGTGCACGTCTAAAATCAATCACCATGTCCTTAGTTTTGGCAACGTTCAAATCCAGGTAGTTTTCCTCACACCACTGGACAAACTGGACCATGATTTCTCTCAGATCCTGAAAGCAGCGACACCAGAACCGTGTCATCTGAATATTTGATTGGGCATCGATTTTCCTCTGAGGATCTGCAGCTGTCCGTGTACAGAATAAAAAGGAGAGGCGACAGTACACAACCCTGAGGAGATCCAGTGTTGGAGATGGAGGGAGGAGACCATTGCCCATTAACAAAAACACGCTGGACCCTGTTGGTAAGAAAGTTTAAAATCAATAAAAGAAGCTGATCTGGGAGATTAAAATCTGAAGCCAGTCTCTGAATCAGAATGTGGGGCTGCATTTTATTAAAAGCAGAGGAAAAGTGTGCAAATAAAAGTCTCACATGGGCCCCTGAGTTTTCAAGATGCTTATAAACAATGTTCAGTAAAAACAGTTTTGCATCCTCCACTCCTCTATTAGACTGATATGCAAATTGCATTGGATCCAGTTTTCCTTCAGTTAAAAACAAAATGTGAGTCTTTAAAATCTGTTCAAAAGTTTTCACAACTAGTGATGTGAGCGCCACCGGCCTGAACTCACTCAACTCCTTTGATTTGTTTGATTTGGGGAGAGGTATTTCTGTTGATGTCTTCCACAGAGTAGGAATTTGACCAAGATCAGCACACATTTGAAACAGTCTAGTAAAAACAGCACTGAGCTGCGTGGCACAGTAGTGTAACGTGCGCCCGCAGATGGCATCAGGACCCCTGGCCTTCCCCGTCTTTACTTTCTTAAATAAAGCAGTGACCTGATTCTGTGCAATCACAATTACCTGCAAAGGTTTCAGAGAGTTTCTGCAGTCACACACCTTTTCCACAACGTCATCTCTTTCAAAAGGAGAGAAAAAAGTATTAAAAGCACCTGGCAACTCACCATCAGACACACCCTTTACAGTTATAGGTTTCCTGTCCTCTTTTTGTTGGCTACTGGAGGCCATGTTCTTAAAGGTTGTATAAAGGATTTTTTTAAGGGAAGAGAAATACAGCGACAGTCCTTGTGCGCATTCAGAATTACTGTTGAAGTTTCCTGTCTAGAAGTAATTCAGTTTTTAGACGCTTCATCTGCTTCGGTCGCACCATCGCTGGACGAGATCTCCAAGAATCACCTCAGTTTGGCTTTGCTCCTTTTCCTCTTCTCTTCTTCTTTCAGCGACCTCAAAAACGGACTTTCTTTTGCGGCGAACCGATCGTGGATTCTCGTCCGCCGTCGCGACAAACTTTGTGCGAAATGCGAGGAAGCGACAGTTCGAAAAAGCCTCTAAGAACCGCCGCGTAAACCACGTAATCCCCGCGCTCCGACGAGTCAGTTACACTAGGGAGTTTGATTGACAACCTAACAGCCAATAGAAAATGAGGGAGCCTCGTTTTCTATTGGCTGATGTTTATCTGGCCTCAACACGTCCACAGTTGATAGATTTTCATTCTTTTTTTTTTGGTCATCATAATTACAAAGCTGCTGCGTCTCGGTAATGGTATTTTAATCTTTCACTGACAATTTGAAACAAAAAAAAAATCCTCCATACAACCTTTAATACCTCGCCAAGCTGCTCTAAGGTCTCCACTGCTATACTGGGCTTCAACATTATCCTTGTATTTTAAACTGGCCTTTCTGAGCTCTGCTTTCACTTCCCTAGAAATTGCCTTTTTCTCCAATTGGTCCCCAGAGCAATAGATCAGTTTAGTTGAAAAAACAGATAACAGTTGTTTTTATTTTTAATTTCAGTTTTTGATTTTGTGAGGACTGAACCAGGACTGAACCAGGACTGAGTGTTGGGACCAGACCGGGACTGAGACCGGGACTGACTGGACTTCTTATTTATAGTTAATTTAAGATCTTTTGTTATCCGCGGTTTGTTATTTGGATCGATAAGTCAACACAAAAAGTGATATATGAAGAGACGACTTCACATAAGTCATTAATGTCGTCACATGCCTCGAAGAAGCCGTCCCAATCAGTACATTCCAATGAGGCTTGAAGTGTGGAAATACTGTCCTCTGACCAACACTTCACAATTTTTTTCCTCCCGTCTTGCCCAAGGACACAGCAACAGTACGCTCTGGTCAAATCTGGGACTGAACAGCCGACGCTCAAAAAAAAAACCCAGCCCAAACTTAAACTCTGATACTGAGAAGTGGTCAAACTGTTGGGAAAAAGGCCACAGTTGACGATCTCGACATGAACGTGTGAAATCTTTGTTTACTCGCAGGACGTGAAAGTGGGTCAGACTCAGACGAGCGGGTCATGAGACTCAGAGAAAACAAAAGGCTTTGAATAATCGCTCCTGTGAAAGAAGAACTGCTTTGTTTGTTTGTTTCAGATTTCAGACTGACGACAATCTTTTCCAGCTGAGCGTATTTTGTTTCAATCCGCGTGTCTTTGTTCGTTTATTCGTTTTTTCAAAATAAAACCAAAAATAAGAAAACGAAAAAACAAACTATTTTCTT